CCACTATAGTCTCAACTCCTGTTTCATAAATGCTGCCATTTTGTTGGTTAGCCCACATTCTCCAGGAGTTGGGTTTATTCCAGCTTCTTTTGCTGTTAAGTCCAACTATTTCCCACACAGGGATACATTCAGTCAACTTTAGAGAATCTGACATCTGATTTTAAAAGTTGGCCTGTTAAGAGATATATACCAGGTTGTCCAGGGACTGAGCTTGGGCTACTATTTTGGCACTACTCTTTCTTGTGAGTATATCTTCCTCACTGACCCTGACAAGATCTTATGCTAGATTGCAAATCTTTCAACTTCCTTTTAAGTTGAGGACCTTGCCTTACTGTGTACTTTGTATCTTTTTTGTTTCTCAGAGAATTTTAGTACTAGTTTCTGTATGCAAACTATCTAGATGCCCCAAAGTATCTATCACCATTTCTAACAGAGACTGTGGAATATCTTGTGCAAATAGAGTCCCTGATAAAATTCCTCATCATATCCAAGTAATCCTGAAATGTTCATTTTATTTATTTATTTATGTATTAAAATGGCATTCATTGAGACCCTAATACATATATATGGGTAACTAATTGAGTTTGAATTACTCCATAACTTTTTATTTTTGAAAACTCAAATTGAAATTGATGTGAGGCTTTTTTAAATTTGATGAAAAGTACAGTAGCTTCCTTTTCGGGAGCCTCCCACTCTTAAAATTTCCATAAAACCTGAGGATTTACCCAGTCCAAATAGATCTGAGAGATCAATTCAATGTCATTTTAAGAGAGTGGAAACAGAGTTCCCTTCAATTTGTTAATACAGTTGCTTGTGGTTGCCAAGTTGCGTGGTCTGGACAAAATCATGTTTCCCACACTGACAGATGCTGCTGATTCACATCTCCACACTGTCCAAGGGCACTCTGCCAATCATTGTTGAGTTTTGAGGGAGGATAATTTTATTTTCTCAGAGGTCCACTCAGAGAAGATTACTCTTCTTCCCTAGGTCCTAGTTCGTGTTATTCAGCTCATTTAGTTTCTTTTTAGAACTATATCCACTGTTCCCTTTCTGTCCCTGGAGACCTCTACCTATAACTGAAGGAAGATGGGGCAATATACTTCCATAAAGATTTACCACCTTGGAAACCCATTGGGGGTCACTATGAGTCAGAATTGACTCGATGGCAGTGGGTTTTATACATATATATATATATATAAAATATATTTATATATCATATTATATGGGAGCTCTGGTAGCATAGTGCCTAAGGCACTTGACTGCTAACCAGAAGACTGGCAGTTCAAACCCACTAGCCACTCCTCGGAAGGAAGACGGGGCAATCTACTTCCATAGTGATACTGCCTCAGAAACCCAAAGAGGGGAAGCTATGAGTCGGATCTGACTCGACGGCATATAACAACAACAACAACAACAAATCATATTATATATTAAATTAAATTAAATTATATTTAATACAAGTTAAATATTATATTTATATTTAATTATTTACTATTATATTTATATTTAATGATAAATATTTATATTTAATGATGATACATGTGGACCTCACCAGGTAGAGTACACAGGAATCAAATCAACTTCATCAGTGGAAAGAGATGATGGAGGAGCTCAATATTATCAGTCAGAACAAGGCCAGGGGCTTACTGTGGATCAGATTATTAGTTGCTTTTATACAAATTTAAGTTAAAGTTAAAGTTGAAGAAATTTAAAACAATTCCACAAAAGCAAGTATCAGGACTTTAGAGACCCTTTGAAGAACAGATTTGATACATTGAACACCAATGACCAAAGGCCAGACAAGTTGTGAGATGACATCAAGAGCATCATACATGAAGAAAACAAAAGGTCATTAAAAAGACAAGAAAAGAAGAGAATTCCAAAATGGATGTCAGAAGAGACTCTGGAACTTTCTCTTGGAAAGGGAGTAGCTAAAGTGAACAGAAGATATAATGAAGTGAAAGATCTGAACAGAAGACTTCAAAGGGCAGCTCAATACAACAGTGTCAAATATTATAGTGAAATGTGCAAAGACCTGGAGATGGAAAATCAAAGGGGAAAACAAGCTTGGCATTTCTCAAGCTGAACCAACTGAAGGAAAAAAAAATCAAACTTTGAGTTGCAATATTGAAGGATTCTGATGACAAAATACTGAGTGATGCAGGAGGCATGAAAAAAAGATTGAAAAAATACACAGAATCACTGCACGCACACACACACACACACACACAAAATTGGTTCAACCATTTCAGGAGGGAGCATATGATCAAGAACTGACAGTATTGAAGGAAAAAGCCCAAGTTACACTGAAGAAATTGATGAAAAGCAAGGTTCCAGGAATTGATAGAAATCCTCTGATATGTTTCAACAAATGGATGCCATTCTGGAGACACTCATGTGTTTATGTTAAGAAATTTGGAAGATGCTTACTGGTCAACTGACTGGAAGAGATCCATATTTGTGCCCTTTCCAAAGAAAGGTGATCCAATGGAGTGCTGAAATCAACAATATCATTAATATGACAAGCAAGTAAAATTTTGCTGAAGATAATTCAACTGTTGCAGAAGTATGTTGACAAAGAACTGCCAAAAATTCAAGCCAGATTCAAAAGAGGACTTGGAAAGAGGGGTATTGCTGCTGATGTCTGACAGATCTTGCCTGGAAGCAAGGAATATCAGAAAGATGTTTACCTTTGTTTTGTTGACTATGCAAAGGCATTCAACTATGTGGATCATAACAAATAGTGGATAGCATTGAAAAGAATGGGAATTCCAGAACATTTAATTGTGATTATCAGGAACGTGTACATAGGCCAAGAGGCAATTGTTCAAACAGAACAAGAGGATGTTGTTTGAACAGAAGGAGAGGATATTGAATAGTTTGAATGGTTTAAAATCAGAAATGGTGTGCATCAGGATTGTATCTTTTTGCCATACTTATTCAGTGTGTAAGCTGGGCAAATAATCAGAGAAGATGGATTATATGAAGAAGAAATCAGCATCAGGATTTTGCAAATAATATCCTATCAGTTCATTTCAACTCACGAATGGCTATGGTATCAATCTTTATGCATGCCATTTCATTTTTGACAAATTCCAATTTTCTAAGTTTCATACTTCATTCTTTCGATGTTCCAGTTTTTAGTGGATATTTACAGCTATTTCTTCTTGTTTTGAGTCATGTCACATCGCAAATGAAGGTCCCAAAAGCTTTACTCCATCTGCATCTTTAAAGTCAACTCTATTTTGATGAGGCAGATCTTCCCCTGTCTTATTTTGAGTTACTTCCAATTGGTGTGGCTCATCTTCCAGTACTATATTAGAAATATTCCACTGCTATTCATAAGGTTTTTACCAGCCAACTTTTTCAAAATTAGACAGCTACATCTTTCTTCCTAGTCTGTCTTAGTCTTGAAGCCCCATGGAAACTTTTCTGCTATGGATGACCCTGCTCATTTTTGAAATACCAATGTTATAGCTTCCAGCACACAACAACACACAAGCCACCAGAATATGACAAACTAACAGATAGTTGTGGTCGTTATGTTACCAGTACCCAAAGATTTGAAGTCAATTTCTCCACCCCTTTCAATCTAGACAAGTCTATAGCTGCTTTGTTCAATACAGTAGGACAGGAGTAATGTTGGTCCAGTTTGGAAGTAACCCTTAACTGATCTGGCAGCTTCTGTCTTCTCTCTCCCAGTGCCCTGAGTTGCCATTTTAGAGGTCTACTAAGCTCACTGGGAGAGACCTTAGTTACAGTGGTGTCACTGGGGGTATATTTGTGACGGGTGAGAACCACATCAGATCACATTGACAGAATGGGTGACATAAAAAATGACTGTCTATAAAATTTTTGTACAGTGTTTGCACAAAATTTTATTGTTTTTGTTAGGTACTGTTGAGTCAGCTCCCACTCTTAATTCCCCTGAGTACAACGTAACAAAACACTGGCAGCTCTTGCACCATCCTCACAATATTTGCTATGTTTAAGCCCATATTAACAGCCACTGTGTGGTGTAGTGGATAACACACTTGACTGCTAACTTGCATTGGACTAGAGGCCATAGTCTCAGTGGTTCCATCAGACTCTATCAGACCAGCAAACCTGGTCCCCCCCCCCATTTTTTTTTAATGATTTTGAGTGTTTTTCCAGATTGTTCTCCCACTCTATCCAAGTTCTTCTACATATATCCCCCTCCAAGTGGTTGACAGTGGTAGCCAGGCACCATCTGGTTCTTCTGGTCTCAGTCATATAGGCTGAAGATCGCATGGTGTACCAGTCGCTTGGACTAATTGTTTTCATGAATCTTTGGTTTTCTTCATTCTTCTTTACTCTGGATGATGAGAGACCCATCGTTGCATCTAGATGGCCACTTGCAAGCTTTTAAAATCCCAGTTGCTACTCACCAAAGTAGCATGTGGAACAACGTTTTTGTGCAGTATGTTATGCCAATTGAGCTTGATGTCCCCTGTGACTATGATCCCAAGCCCACAGGTCCAACTTCTCGCTCCCTCTGGATAGCTGGCAGGGCCAAGAACTGAATACAACCCTGTTCCTTGTCAGTTCTTCAATGTAGAGAGATTTTACAAAACAGTTTTATTAGTAATATTTATAAAATCTAAGAAATATTACATTTAATCAATTTAAAGCTATATTTATTATATATTATTCTGAATAAAATTGATAATAAACATTACTAAAGACATATGGTCAGGAGGATGTCCATGGGTTCAAGGGGTGACACCCTGAGTTGCTATAAAATAAGTGTAATTAATACTCTGTGGTGTTGGTGAAAGGTTAGACAGATAGCTGAACAAAACAGAGCAGTCTAGAAATAGAACCACGCATACATGCTAATACATGTTCAACAAAATTTACATTTACTTCAATAAGAAAGAGAAAGAATTTTAAGGAACTAGTATTTGAATAACAGGAGATCCACATTAAAAATGAACCATATGTAAACAGATACAACAGTATTTGCATTGGACACAAACCTGTATATGGTAGATACAGACCTGTACATAGTTGGATACAGACCTATAAGTAACTACAAACAGACTTATGTCTTGTCAGACTCAAGACCTATCAGTGTTTTCATATTGACCCATATGTGAGCAGACATACAGACCCATGTGTGGTCAGATGCAGACCCTTATGTGTTTGTATATAGATGAGTGTGTGACTTTATATAGACCCATGTGTGTGGAAAGACACAGGTCTATGTGGATTTGAATACACACTTGTGTTTATGGCTTTAAGGACAATGTAGTAATTTATGACAGCAAAAGACACTGAATGTTTTCAGACAAATTCATTGAAAATGTGAATCAAATGCAAAGAAAATAATTCCCTTTGTAAATAAGAAAACAAAAAAACTGTATGCTCTATGGAGCAGCCTATAAGTTTTATCAAGATTTGTAAATTAAGCCTTCACAATACACCTCATATTATGGAAGAGAATCTTAGGTTATCATAACATGCCCTTTTTTCAAAAAAAATATTTCAAAACAAGAAATTCTAAATGTAGTATTTTGACCCTTACAAAGTGGTCTTAAGATTTATCAGAAGAATAAATATTTCAGAATTGCATGAAAATTTTTGAAATAGATAATGGGAAGATTATCTGTTCCAGATACAAATACACATTAAGCATCTTTGATCACTGAAATAGTGTGTTAGTAATAGAGGAATAAACCCAATAGAAGTAGAAGAAATGGTGAAAAAATACTCTTTCATATATATAAAATGACATATTAAAAGAAGAAATTTCAAATCATTACTGAAAATAATTAATAATTGATATTACATTGGCAGAATATTTTACCTTTTTTGGAAAACAGATTTTAATGTCTCTTCATCAAGAAACAAAAATAAATTTTAGATGGGATGAAAACCAGAATCATGTGAAAAATTATTTACAAACAAATGAGGATAAAATGGATAATGTCAATGAAGAGAAATAGAACTTTCCAAGTGTGTAATAAAAGAAATCAAAAAGTAGAAAAAATTTTAAATAAAATATCTGTATATAAAAACTCTCCTTATTATACTATAAACGAGATGGCAAGGTAAACATTTATAGCAAATATCAAAGAAAAGTGATACATACAGTTAACACATAAAAAGTTCATTAAATGCATCTGTAAAAATTCTGACTGCAGTAGAAGAATTCATGAATACAAATAATTTATAAATTTTCCAGAGTGAATTCCTATGCTTCAGACATTAAGAAAGACAAAAGAGCGCAAAGACAGTTAAACACCTTTCCCTGCTTTCAAGAACTTATAGACAGTCGACATAAGTAGACAATTAACCAAAATTTACCTCTCATTACTCCATATAACTATACAAATTTAAAAAATAACTAAATTTGACAAAATGGAGAATTTAGTTATGTTAATTCTGTTCTAATCAAATGCTTGATATTGTTTTATGAATGACATTATGCTTAGGAACAGTTTGAAATGACACAAGAAATATCCATGTAATGACAATAGGAATAAAAATCGTGTTACAAAGTCACATATATAGTAGAAAGGACCCATTATGCCATACCTTTACCTTTACCTGTCATAAAAACGGACTAATAGGGGAGGTAGGAGCTAAATGTCTTTGATCATGTATCCTACAACACTAGAGGTAGGTGATATTTCATTTTAAGCCTGATTCAGAGGGAAAGAAATGTTTACAAAGATTTTATAAATGATTTCTTTGTCAAATGGAACAATATATTCTGATCTCTTTATTACCTAATAATCTGCATTCCATAGTTGAAGATGAGAGAATGGAAACAGCAAGAATTGTCAGTATCTTTCTTGATAATGAAATAATGCAAAATAATCCAGTGTCAACTTCTGTATTGTATATAAAAAGCTCATTGATTACGGATTTTTTTTTTCAATTTTACATATGAAAGACTGGGTCTGGCTTTCCATTAGAATCTATGAGACACTGTAATCAAGGAGATGAGAATATTAAAAAACATACAAAGATATTATCAGATGTTTTAAATTATCTGGGAAGATGAATGGATCATCTTTATGAAAATATAACACCCAACTAAGCTGCTCCACTTGAGCAGATAAGATGATCTCCCAGTTGGGAAAATAAGTAAGAGTTCATCATTTTTCTACCTATCTCCCTTGTTCACTTAGATTCCTTTTATATATTTAGCCTTCTTACAATTAATCAAGAAGTTCTGGTGGTGTAGTGGTTAAAGCCTTTGGCTGCTAACCAAAAGTTCAGTGGTTTGAACCCATCAGCTGGTCTGCAGAAGAAAGATGAGGCAATCTGCTTCCATAAAGAGTATAGCTTTGGAAACCAAATGGGAGTCTTTATGAGTCAGAATCTACTAGATGGCAGTGAGTTTGATTTCTTAGTCTTATGATTAATATGACTAATATAAAGTTCCTGAGTAGTACAGTCAGTTAAGGGCTTGACTACTAACAAAAAGTTGGTAGTTCAAGCACACTAGGAGGTGCTTGCAAATAAATAAATAAATAAAAATAATCCAGGAGATCAATTTCTGAAGTACCAGAGCCATGAAAACCCAAAAGAGTGAAATTACACACTGTAGCACATGGGTTCTCCGTAAACTAAAAGGAACCCAACTGCAACTGGAGAGTAACTTTAGAACTTTGATGCTTCCTTCCTCCTCTTCAACCTTAACATATTAAGCAAGATAAGCAAAACTATGTATTTTAAATATCTTATGATTCCAAAATAAGGACACATAGTTCAAATGGTAATATCAGCTGTCTCTTTGTGGGGAGGGTTGAATCCTGTTTTAATGTCTTATTTTATCACTGTGAAATCAGTAAAAAAGAGCTATTAATTTGGGGAAAAAAGGATTAGCATTGGTTAAGAAAGAGATTTGAGAAAATCTTTCATCAATTAAAAAAATTCTGTTATTAACTGTAGCATAATCCATCACATGGAATATAAATTTAAAGTCTCAACAAATGATTTTATACCCCAAAAAATGAATATATATTTTCCTAAGAAATGAAATAAAAAATAAATATTTTGAACCAAGGTAATCATTGGAAGTATACACACGATAAATGTTTTCCCATCATTTAAAGGTTATTAAATATGAGGAAAAAATTATCACAAATAAATAATTGCATGGGGCTTTTCTTACTCTGCTGGCATAGTGCCTGAGGCATTTGACTGCTAACCAGAAGGCTGATGGTTCAAACCCAGTAGCCACTCCTTGGAAGGAAGATTGGGCAATCTACTTCCATAGTGATACTGCCTTGGAAACTGAAAGAGTGGTCACTATGAGTCGGATCTGACTTGAGGGCAATGAATTTGTTTTTCTTATGCAGTAATTTTCCATTGAAAGTAAGTGATATATTTGTCTGCCATCTCATTTGCGTTTCCTGGTCCAGACCTTCTTCATGGCATTCTTCATCTCTGCATTTCTCAGAGTATAGATTAAGGGATTCAACATAGGGGTGATGACAGTGTAAAAAACAGTCAAGGATTTATCAATTGATAATGTGGAAGGAGGTCTCACATACATAAAAATGCAAGGGACAAAGAAGAGGACCACTACAGTGATGTGGGAGCCACAGGTGGATAAGGCTTTGCGCCTCCCTTCCTGACTAAGATTCTTCAGGGAGTGCAGAATGACTCCATAGGAGATGAGTAACAACAAAAAGATGACCACACATATTGCACCATCATTGGCAACGACAGTGAGACCAATGATATACGTGTCAGTACAGGCAAGTTTTAGTAAGGGGTACATGTCACAGATGAAGTGATCTATAACATTGGGTCCACAAAAGGGAAGGTTGTAAACAAAGAGAAGCTGAACTACAGCATGCACAAAACCTCCAACCCAGGCCACCAGCAGCAGCAGGACACACACCCGTTGGTTCATGATGGTCATATAATGCAGGGGTTTGCAGATAGCCACATAGCGGTCATAGGCCATGACCACCAGGAGTAAAATCTCAGCTCCGCCAAATAAGTGTCCTACAAAAAGCTGAGTCATGCAAGCTTGAAAGGAAATGGTTTTCTTCTCATAGAGAAAGTCTATAATCATATTTGGGGTGACCGTAGTAGAATAAACAGCATCCATAAAGGATAAGTAGCCTAGAAAGAAGTACATAGGGGCATCCAGGGTCTGGCTGACTACCACAGTCACCACAATAAGTAAGTTGCCAACAATTGTCACAGTGTAGATGAGCAAGAAAACAACAAATAATATTTTCTGACCTTGGAGACTCTGAGTGAGCCCCAAGAGGACAAAGTCAGTCACATTGTTCCTTTGTTCCATATGTTCTTCTGTATGTACTTATTTCAGAGTTCTGGACAAATTTACCTGTAAATATAATGATGACTAGTGACTTTTTGAAAGCTTATGATAATTTGTTTATTCATTCAACACATAGGCATCATGGTTTATTATTTTCCAACACTGTCCAAGATGATAACAATATAAGACTGATGAAAATATGGTCCCTAACCTCAGTGGGGAGCTCTGGTAGCATAGTGCCTAAGGCAATTGACTGCTAACCAGAAGGCTGGCAGTTCAAACCCTCCAGCTCCTCCTCAGAAGGAAGGTTGGGCCATCTACTTCCTTAGAGATACCACTTTGGAAACCCAAGGAGGGGTTGCTATGAGTTGAGTCAACTCAATGGCAGTGAGTGAGTGAACCTCAGTGATTATATAGACTCATGGAGAAATAAATTAGAAACATATATGAGGAAAGGACAGATTATTACACAAACAATGTTGTCACACAGTCCATCTAGAAGAAAATAAAATTGTATACATAGAAAATACCATAAACAAAAATAAAATAGAAATATAATAAAGACATAATTTAAAAATAAAGTTAGATTTAACTTTATATTTACTTTCAAGCTAGTGAAACTAATCATTTTGTGCATTGTAGTAATGGAAGGAGTTTCCATTACTGAAATTCTGAAATTCTAATTAGACATATATGACAATTTCAAAGTTTTTAAAGCATTTTTAAAGATACATGGTCAGTAGAAAAAAAAGATTTGGGAAATATTATATTTTAGAGGAAATATACAATATTAATATACAATATTAATATCTAAAATAGTTAAAGAATTCTAACCAACCAATAAAAGAAACAATAAGAATGTGGCCAAATGATATAAACAAGCACTTAAAGAAAGAGTACTTCCAAATGGCCAAAAAACATATAATAGAATTCTGAAATTCACCTGTAAATAGAACAATGCAAAATAATATAACAGGTATTATACCCAACAGACTGACAAAAAGTTTCAAAAATATTAATACTTATAAATGGTAAACATAGAGAAAAGAACATTCTCTTACATTGCTTATAAAAATGTTAATTTTATAATATTTTTGGGACAAAATCTAGCAACTTCTATTGAAGATAAAAATACATATACCTTTCATCACAACAATTATACTCTTTAGAATCTATCTCATGGGAATTAAGTACGTAAAAAATGTACTCATGACATGTTTTTGCTGTATTATTTATAATTATATTAAATAATAAAACAAAACTTAAAGTGAATTCTGATCAATAGAGAAATGGTTGAATATATAAAAAAAAATCTATTAAATCGAATACATTCATTTAGAACAATGAATTGGAGCTATCCTGTTAGTGTTAGAGAAATTCCCACAAGGTACTGTTGAGCAAGACAGAAATAAGCACGCACTTATGCGTAATTTGCTATTATATACAAAAATAGAAATAAAATATAAGTGCATCAGGTTATAAATGTATATACTTACATGAGCATGGGAAAATATGAAGGATACATTTTTGTCATTGTTATAAACAGGTTACGTTTGTATTGGTAATATACATGAAAGAATGAAAATGATGAGAGGATCGATTGCAAAACAAGAAAAGAAAAAGAAAACTGCACACATACAAATATATATATATATATATATATATATATACAGCATAGTACAGCATACATACACTTGACTGCTAACCACATATTAACAAACAATGCTTACATAACACTTCTATTGATCCTATAATGAAAATCATAACTTTCTCCCAATTAAAGTATCCCCCAAATAGTTACACTTAAATTAGGTTCTAAGAATACTAAAGTTAGAGAAAATAAATGTACTCTGGCTCTTCATTATATGAAAATATCCAAAAGAATATTATAGAATTGAGTCAATTCTTCTATATTTTATTGATCTCTAACATGGCTAATTACCAGAATCACTTAGGAGAACTTTTAAAAGACTATGACTTTCCAAATCATACTACCAATGCACTCTAAAATAATCTAAAGTCAAGTGAAAACTCTTCTGTATAAAATATTTTCTGGGTTACCTGCTTACAAAACAGGTATTCTACTGAAGCTCTGGATTGTGGTGCCATCTCCTTTGTCCTAATGCACCAACGCCATTTCTGGGGACACAGAGAGTAAGATAGGCCATGCACTATCACTGGACCTAGAAATGTTTCCATGCTCCGAGAAGTCTGTTTCATCTCAGTCTCTCAGAAAAAATGCTGTCTTTTAAGTTGTTGAGATTTTCCAGATGAACATTAAAAAATGTCCCATAACCTAAAGAAGTCTGAATCTTCATTGTAAATTTATCCAAAAGGAAACAAATACTAAATAAGTAGTATGAGTTTTTTTTTTAAAGTTAATTTTGTGAAAGAGAAAATCGTGATTCTTTAGAAAAATATTTTTGAGTATGTGTTTTTAGAAGTGATGTAGTGAAATAGCCTTTACAACATTTTGATTCTCAATTATACTGGCCTGATTCACACAGCAAATTGAGTTTGATTTGCCTGAAGAATGGGGAATAATTTTATCCCCATATTGTTACATTTTGAGTCCATCATTCAATTTCTGAAAAAGCCAGTCTGGTAAGTACTCACACAGAAAAATTCTCTCTGTGATAAGGACAAAGGTCTGTGGACACTTTATTTACATTTGAAATACAACACATATTGTTGAGTTATTGAACTGGCAAAACCATAATTAAACTCATTGGGACCTTAATCATAATTCTGAGGCTAGATTCTTCATCTCCACAGATGCTACCCAGAAAATCACCCACATGGAACAGGACTTACAGAACCAGGTCATTGGGGAAGAAAATCAAAAAGAACAACCTGAGGTCAATTCACCAAAAGGAAGAGTTCAAGGTGGGCACAATTTGATTAAATAAAAATCATGACCTTCAAATTAGACAATCCTGTTGGATGTGTAAATTTAAGCAATAGCTTTGTAAATGCTTTCTGAACTTACTCCCAGAGGATCATGAAAGTTGATTTCAGAAAAAGCAATTTATTCAAATGTATGTAAAGCAGGGTTCTCACCTGTTATGGATTGAATTATATCCCCCCAAAAATCTATGTTGAAATGCTCACTCTTGTATTTGTGAATGTGATGCCCTTTGTAAATAGGGGTAATCAACGTGTTATCAGTTAAGTTGACATGAAGTCATATTAGAGAAGGTTGGGTCTCCTAGTGTTCTTCTAAATGAACAGAAGATACACAGAGACTCACACACACAGATGAAGGTTGTCATCAGATGCTTAGTTGCAACCAAGGAATTCCTGGGGATACCAGAATCTAGGAGAGGGAATAGAAGAGATCCTCTGTCAAAGCCTGAAAGGAATCAACACAGCTATCACCCTGCTTTTAGACTCATAGCTTCCAGAACTGTGAGACAATAAATTTTTGTTGTTTAAAACCAACCACTAGGAAATATTGAATGGCATTCCTGGAAAATGACATCTCCCTAGAAGTAAAAGTTCTGAGTTTGCCTCAGAAAGAGTTTCAGACAGGCAAGTTGGTAATTCTGTATTTAACAAGAAAAAAAAAAAGTATAAACTATTTAAAGGGATAACTTCAAAATCAAAGAGTTCTGAGTCTTTATCTTACAGACCTTTCTGAGGAAAATATTACCAGCTATTTCTTTCTGCTATTTCAAAGTAAAGTATGAAAATGAAAAGTGAAAAAAATCTAGAATTAGAAAACCAAAAGGAAAGAACATTTCTCAAGCTGAAAGACTGAAGAAAAAAAAAAAAACAAGACTCGAGTTGCAAAATTGAAAGATTCTGTGGGCAAAATATTGAACGACACAGGAGGCATCAAAAGAAGATAGAAAGAATACACAGAGTTACTGTACCAAAAATAATTGGTTAATGTTCAACTATTTCAGGAGATAACATATGTTTAGTGGTATTGAAGTAAGAAGTCCAAGCTGCACTGAAGGAATGGCAAAAAACAAGTCCCCAGAAACTGGAGGATGCCCATTGAGATGTTTCAACACATGGATGCAGCACTTACTCATTTATCCCAAGAAATTTGGGAGACAGCTATCTGGCCAACCAACTAGAAGAGTTCTATATGTGTGCTAATTCCAAAGAAAGGTGATCCAACAGACCGTAGAGATTATCAAACAATATCATTAATAGTAAAATTTTGCTGAAGATAATTAAAAAATGGCTGCAGCAGTATATTGATGGGGCACTTCTAGAAATTCAAACTGTATTTGGAAAAGGACATGGAATGAAGGGTATCATTGCTGATGGCAGGTGGATCTTGGCTGAAAGCAAAGAAACCAGAATGATGTTTACCTGTGATTTACTGATTATGCAAAGGCATATTATTCAATCTATATGTTGAGCAAATAATTCAAGAAGCTGGACTGTATGAAGAAGACGTGGCATCAGGATTGAAGGAAGACTTATTAACGACCTGTGATATGCAGATGACACAACAATGCTTACTGAAAGTGAAGATGACTTGAAGAACTTACTGGTGAAGATAAAAAATGACAGTCTTCTGTATGGATTACATCTCAACATAAAGAAAATAAAAATCCTCACAACTGGTTCCTTAAGCTACAGCACAATAGATGGAGAAAAGATAGAAATTGTTAGGTATATCATTTTCCTTGCATCCACAATCAACACACATGGAAGCAGCAGTCAAGAAATCAGACATGTCGCACTAGCCAAATCTGCTGTGAAAGGCCTCCTTAAAGTGTTGAAGAGCAAATATGTCACTTTGTGCCTAACTAACCCAACCCATGGTATTTTCAGTAGCCTCATATGCATATGAAAGCTGGACAATGAATGAGGAATACTAAAGAAGAGTTGATGCCTTTAAATTGTGTGGTTGGTGAAGAATACTGAAGATAACATGGACTACGAGAAGAATGAACAAATCTGTCCTGGAAGATGTGCAACCAGAATGGTCCTTAGAAGCAAGAGTGGCGAGCCTTAATCTTACCTACTTTGCCATATTGTCAGGAATTATCATTCCCTGG